GCAAAAAAAAAAAAAAAAAAAAAAAAGGTTCCGGGAATTTATGAAATGTTATATATCTTCAAATGGAATACTAATTGAGTCATAGAGGTGCTTCTGGAAGCAGAGAAAATTCACTGTGAGTTATTAAAAAAAAAAAAAAAAAAAAAAAAAGGTTTCTGGAATAATTTAATTATCTTTTGAAGCCCTGGAAACTTGTGATGTTCTTCGCACAAGAGGCAATTCTGAACTGAAGGGCACCAGGCTAATATGCATTTCTCAAAATAATTTAGGGTCGTTATCAAGCTCATAGGCTTTGACGTCACGTCACACAGATCTGAATTTGAATTCTCTCTTGTAATTCATTTATTGTTTTGTGTCTTTTATTGTGTGACTGTAGGCAAGTTTCCTACTCTGAGGTTAATTTTCTTATATGCAAGGTAGTTAAAAAAAATGGTATTTTCCTTACAGTGGATTATTAAGATGATTTAATAAGCGAATACATGTAATACACCTGGAGTATGGGGAAAAAACCCCAACTCAACAAAGGTAGCTATTCTCTGTGAGGGCTCCTGGTGTGGCGCAGTGGGATTAGACCTGGAGTGCAAGGAAACCCTATATAACAGGGTTACTATGAGTTACCCACTTAATAACAATAACTCTTTGGGAAGTGTTGTAACTATTATGCCACATAAACTAGATTCATGATTTTTCCCACATCAGGCTAAGCATGTGCTCAAAAGTGATCTGGCAATAACACTGATTTCTACTCTACATTCTAAAGGGAGTCCTTTCTACAACTGACAAGCAGGAAGATAAGGCCTTTTGCTCCTGTAAAGATACAGAGCCCAGGCAAGGTTACACAGGGCTGCTATGAATCAGAATTTACTTTACAGCACAAAATTACCATAGCTACCTATAAAAGAAGACCCTTTCCTTCTTTGCTCTTGCCTAACATGTTATTAGTTTATATGATTAGTTGCTGTTTCTTCATAAAACTCAAAGCTCCATGACCAGGTGTGCTATTTGCCCTCATAAACCCCAAGCCTACTATGGTACATGGGAATGGGTGACTCTCAATAATTATTTATTGAACAGATATACTCCCAATTGGAAGTCTTGCATCTGTGTCATCAAATATATTTTGCAAAGTTTAAGCATTGCTAAATAGAAAAAGAAAACTAAAGGTGACAAGCAATTCCAGTCCACTATAGTACCACTGCCACCACTTGTCGTACTGCGGTAGCTTGGAAGCTATGCTATGGGTATTTTAAATATAGGATCACCCACGGTGAACAGGTTTCAGCTGAAATTCCTGATGAACACAGACTAGGAAGAAGGAGAGATGGACTACTTCTGAATATTTAGTCACTGAAAACCGTATGAATAATAGTGGAACACTGTCAGCACCAGATACTGAATACTGAAAACTGATGAGGAAGACCTGAATATTGTCAGATATAGTGCCAGAGGATGCACCCCTCAGGTTGGAAGACACTCAAAATGTGACTAAGGAAGAGCTGCCTTCTCAAAGTTGAGTTGACCATGACGACATGAATGCAGTAAAGCCCTCTGGACCTTCATTTGCTGATGAGGCACAACTCAAAATTAGTAGAAATGGCTGTAAAAAAATCCATGAATAATCAAAACAGGGAACGAACGAAGTATTAATCTAGGAAAATTGGAAATTGTCAAAATGAAATGGAACGCATAAACATTAATATCCTAGGCATTAGTGAGAGGAAAAGGACCGGTATTGGTCATTTTGATTTGACAATCACAAGGTTTATTATGCCAAGAATGAGAAATGGAAGAGGAATGGTGTCACATTTATCATCAAAAAGAACATATCAGAATCAGTAATGAAGTACAATGCTGTGTGTGATATATTATCCATATGCCAACAAGGAAGACCAGCTACAGCTAATAACACTATTATTCAAATTTACGCACCAACCACTAAAGTCAGTGATGAGTAATTATCTCAATAATAAGCATGAAACTAAAGGTAGTTATTATAAAAATATGACCCTAGGGTGAACAGTATGCAGGGACATGGGCATATCCTTGTGTGAGTTAATTTTAAATAGCAAGACTGTGTAGTAACTTGAGTTTCATATCAAGATTACATTGGATTGCCTTTCTCTTGACTTTGGTTTATGTGAAATATTTAAGGAAAAAAAAAGAACTGTACATAATTACATTTTAGTTGAACACCTGTAGTATTTGGATTTATATCAAATTTCACTTTTATTTTCTATGACAGAAATTTATCAAAAACAAACAATAAAAACATTAACAAAGATTTTATTTAAAAAAAACTATCTTACCTGGCCATTTCCAAGCAGAGATATATCTTTCCCTATTAGAAAATAGGATCCAAAAAAGAAAATGAAGGCATGGCTGAAACCTAGGATGGTCCAATAAAGAAATGTTTTAATGCTTAGATGGCAGTTTTTACTAATGTCTCTGTAAATGAAAAAACGAAAAAGGAACACATTAGGACTCACATTATAATGCTAATTAAACAATTGTTAATTTGATTATTTAAAAAACAATATGACTTTTTAATTTCAAATTGCTTGAAAACCTTAGCAGAAAGGTTATATCTAAATTTACAAACCACTGCCTATAGTAATACTGTACATCTGTGTAATAGCTTACAGAGCACATATGTTAGAAAACATATTGTCATCTAATAAAGAAGTATGACAAAGACCCAATATTTCAGTTTGATTATGAATGTTGGTTTATGTTTTATATTCATCTATAAATATTCAGTCACTGCAGTAATGGTCTCTTTTTAGTGGAGACACCTGAGTTAGGGTCAGCACTGAGACTCCTCGTTGACTTTATTTCCACCAATAGCTAGTATGGAAGGAAGAGTCTGTGCCAATCTTGGATAAGTCCAGTCTTAGTTTGTGGAAAATCAAAGAAAAGCAGTTAGCATTTCTGGATAGCTGGACCTCTCTTATAAGAATGAAAGCCAGGATAATGTGGGAACCGTTGAGCTGGTTCTGAGGGCAAAGGTAGTACATAATAGAGTGATTACTTGGTTTGGAGACATAGGAGCAACCCGGGGGTTTTGAGACTGGAATGTCTTCAATCCATTATTTTGCCATCAAGTCAATTTCAACTTCTAGAAACCCTGTAGGGCTGCCCCATAGTGTTGTAATCTTTAAGGAAAGAGATTGCCACATTGTTCTCCCACAGAGTAGTTCGTGTGTCCGAACCACAGATTTTTTGGTTAGCAGCTGAGCATTTAATCACTGCATTGCCTGGGCTCCTTTTGCATTTGTTAAGTGCCACTGAGCTGGTTCTGGCTCATACTGATCCTGTATAGGGTTTCCAAGGAGCGGCTGGCGGGACTGAACCATTAACCTTGTGGTTAGCAGTCTAGTGCTTATCCTATATCGCCACACCAGGATTTCTGTGCACTGACTGGTGGTGGTGGTTGTGTGCTATGGAGTTGGTTCCAATTCATAGGGTTTCTGAGTCTGTAAATCCTTACAGGAGCAGAAAACCTCATCTTTCTCCCACAGAGTGGCTGGTAGATTTGAACTGCTGATGCAGTTAAAAGCCCAACTCGTAACCCACTATTCTATCAGAGCTCCTTTTGCATTGATTATTATCCATAAATTTTGCAATACTAGAATGTGAACTAATTATTTCAGAACTCTAGAGACTATCAATTACTAAACTTCTTTGTTTTTGTTGTAAAGTGCTGTTGAATCATAGCAACTCTGTACAGGGTTTCAGAGGAGTGACTGGAGAGTTTAAACCACCGACCCTGTGGCTACCAGTCCAGTGCTTACCCTACAACACCAAACCAGGATTCCACTTTAGAACAACAAAACGAAATAGACTGGTTTGAAATAGTAAACAGTAAGCACAAATTACAAAACTGCATAATGTATTCCTAGGATGAAAGGGCTTTCTTAAAAAGACTGAAAAATTGATTAGAATATTCTCTTTGATGTTCCAGAAGACCAACTAAAGTGCTTTCCTCAGGAAGGTTTCATGTACCAAAACACTAATGAAAATTAATATATATGCTTATTTTTAGGTACTCAGAAAATTAATAACCATTGGATATATTAGTTGTAATCAGAAATGTTACGGATATTCCATTATACTGGAAAATACTTACCGATAGAGACTGGGTTTGCTCTGTAATATATGAGGATTTATATGCTGTTCCAAAAGACTATATATCAGAATAGGTAGGGAAGTAAAACAAATATTGTACAAAGTCAGGTACACGCTGTCATATAGTGTCTAGAAAGAGAAATTGTAGTCATTTTGAGATTTTAAATTATGTATTACTATTTTACTTCCACATATCTTCACAAAACAGCACGTTATAATGTAATGTGTCAGGAAAACGTAACAAAAATAGGTTAGGTGCCCTAGTCATATGTTCTTACAGCTTTCTTTACTCAACCTTTTCTTTAAGGTTGTTGATGTTAAGTGTTGTGTAATCAGTTCTGACTCACAGAGAGACCCTGTATAGGATTTCAGAGGAGTGACTTGTGGGATTGACCTTGTGGCCAGCAGTTCAACTAAGCAAACACTATTATTAGAACACAATACCCAAGGAGATATTAATAATTTAGTAGCTGTTGTTGTTATTGTTAAGTGCCATTGAGTACTGTAAAACAAGAAAAAAACAGTGTTCAAGGATAAAAACAATTCATGAAAAACCTAAAAAAAAAGTAAGCTTCTGTTTTTTCAACAAATTAGAACTAATGTCTTGGCCAATCTGAGATGTACAGTGTGGTATGTAAAAAGAGTACTCCATTATCAGAACCAATGGGTTCAAATCAAGGTTTAGTCATTAACTTCACTATATGGTCTTGGTCAAATTACTGTATCTCTGCAGATTTAAATTTTCTTGTTTTTAAAACACGACAGAGTAGAGCAAGAATGGCAAATATATGACATGTACAAGCCAGGATCCATTCTGTGCCCATTATTTACCCAAATGCAAGTGCTGTTGAATACATTCTAACTCACAGGACAGAATAGAACTGCCTCTCAGGGTTGCCAATGCTGTGAATTTCTATGGAAGCAGACAGCCTCATTATTCTCTTGAAGAGGCAGGGCTCACTTAATTGTTCACCTGTGTCATTCCTATATGCTATTCTTGGACTCAATCAATAGGGTTTCTTCCAAAGCTAAGAAATTCTCTGAGTTAAAAAGTCAATACTAAGGCAATCCTCCAATAATTATCTGGACTGGCTTGCTAAGAAATAAATATCACACTTAGTTGGAGCAAATTATCAGAAGTTATCCGAATTTCCTCATAAGCTTTAAAGAGTTACTATCTTTTTTTTTTTTTAAAAAAAAGTATAGAGGAGACAAGGACATAGCCACAGAGGGCTAGAGCTGAGAGTGAAGCATCCAGCTGATATGAAGTGAGGGGAGATGCACAAGAACACCCAAACTTGCAGACAGTACCCATTTGACCTAGCCTCGATGGCTTGATAATCAGAGCTCGTCTAGAGGAAGATTACCAGAAAAAGTTTTTTTTTCTTTTTGATAAAGGAAACAAAGGTAAATTGCTACAATTTGATGAACCTGACCTATATTCATGGAGGTTGTTGTTGTTGTTATCAGGTACCATCGAGTCGGAACCGACTCATAGCGCCCCAAGCACAGCAGAACGAAACAATGTTCGATCCTGGGCCAACCTCACTACCGCTGCCACACTTGAGTCCATCAATCATGCCACCTGGCTGATCCATCTCGTTGGGGGTCTTCCTCTTTTTCTCTGACCCTCCACCCTACCCAGCATGACATCCTTCT